AAAAGGTTGTCTACCAAAAAACAAACAAAACCCATGGCCATCAAGTCAATTCTGGCTCCTAGCGACCTTGTCAGACAGAACAGACACCTCGTATCTCCCAGGCCAGAGAGCAGACTGCCACGTCTTTCTCCTCCAGAACAGCTGGTGGGTTCTGACGCTGACCTTGAGGTTAGCAATGAGAGCCTAACCTAGTGCCGCCAGCATGCCTCTTAGCATGGCTTGGAAAACAAATTCCTGGCAAAGAATTTTAAAATTATATCCAAGAACAGGTGCCATGGGATCTTAGTAGATCATGAAATGAATTCTATTATTAGAACAAATTTTTTTTCTTAATCCAGTTAATTATTTTTCTTAATCCAGCTAATTATTTAGGGAGGGAGGGGGGGAGGTTGGGACTTAAAGTCTAATAATTTTCCGTTTTATTCCATAAATCCAGGGGCTTGTGTAACTAACTGAGTTGCACACATTTGCATAGCAAACTACCCAATTTCCAGGTGCACATATTTGCATAGTCTATTACCCTATTTCCAGGTGTATCAATGAATCATTTATGAGCTACACTGCAATTCAGCTTTTATAGTCAGTTAAGTCACACACACACACACACACCCCGCCACATGCAACAGATTTGGACCATATATACTCGTGTATAAGCCGAATTTTTTTAGCACATTTTTAATGCAGTTTTTGTGGTAAAATTAGGTGCCTCGGCTGATATTCGGATCGGCTTATACGGTATATACGGTAAGTGATTCCATCACATCTCTGGTTAGGAGGAAGAAGACTACAGGAGCAGAGCTGGGGAAAGGCTGCAGATGAACAAGCTCACCCCCACACCGGCACACGTGTGTGCTCCGCTCATGCATGGCGGCTCAAAGACGTCTCTTTCACCTGCCTCACTCACTTCTGTGTTTAGCTTTGAGAGATTGGAGTGGGCTGAGCCAGGACTGAGCACAGGGAATCCCAGGAGCCGGGCAAGATGGCTGAGCGAGACCAGAGCACGTGCATCGGGGTTGAGGGGACTTGCCCTTACCTTTCTTCCTAATCACAGGGATTGCATTAGATTCCCAAGGGCACCTAGCCAGTCTGGAGAGTGCTTTAATCAAACCAAAGACATGCCAGGAATTGTCCTCAAACCCCCAGCTTAGTATGATCCCGGGCCGTGTCCTGATCAGAAGAGGGTGATGGGCGTGATGCGTGGTGAGAGAAAGCCTGCCATTTATGTCTCAGATGGTGACAGTTGTGGCACCAGGATTTAAGGGAGTGGGCGTCGCCCCAGAGAGTGTCTCTTCCAGAGTTTCAAGGCCAGGTCAGATGGCTTTTCCCCGCGTGCAGCTGTGTTTCCTCTTCCTTCGGCTTTGTTGGCAGTTTTCCGATGACCTCTCTGCGATGAGTAGATGATTTGGAATTCCTTAATTCAAGCAGTCATTCCCATGATATTTCCTTTCATTTTTGTTTCCACTTCAGATAACTTACATACGACAAGAATATGAAACAAAATTCAAAGGCTTGATGCCAGCATCTCTGAGACAAGAACTCGAGGACACCATTTCCTCCCTCAGATCTCAGGTAATTCCTCGAGCCACAACTCCTTCCACGCATCTGGAGGGTGCCCATGTCTGGAAGGAAACTTAGAAACCAGTGTGCGTCTGCGTTGATGACCAGGATGCCCTGCTTCTTCCCTTAGGGTTTTTGTCCTTCTTCTTTGTCTTACTAGTTTAAGAACTTGTCTTCTCCAAGCATTTCCTTCAACTCAGACCACAAAGAGCCCAATCCTACCGCCACCACGTCGATGCCAGCACAGTAATGCTCTAGCGCAGCGGTTCTCAGCCTGTGGCTCGCGACCCCTTTGGTGGTCGAACGACCCTTTCACAGGGGTCGCCCAATTCAAAACAATAGCAAAATGACAGTGATGAAGTAGCAACGAGAATAATGTTATGGTTGGGGGACACCACCACACGAGGAACTGTCTGAAAGGGTCGCGGCCTGAAGCAGGTTGAGAACCAGTGCTCTGTAGGTTTCCGAGACTGTGAATCTTCATTGGAGCAGGTAGCCGTCCAACACCGAAACCACATTGCCACCTGAGCTTCTTACTTCGTACAAGCCGCCCTTGAAATGGAAAAATCCAGTTCTGGTAACTGTTCATCCACTCACAGTCCATGTTCCAGGGCGGCCTCACCCATGTCTGCTTGGTGCCAGGCCCAAAAGGCCATCCCTAGGCCCGTTGCTGACGCCTCACTGCGAAAGAGCCCAGAGAGAGCAGAAGCGCACTTCCCACTGGAAGCATTGCAATTGCAGATTGTTCCGTGTGGTTGTTGGAAACAGCAAGGCATGCTGTGAGTAGGAAGAGGAATGATGACAAGGAGTCCGGTCAGAGGAAGTATGTCTTGACATGACACACTTTATCGGGTGGGCTATCGCGGTAGTAGGTATATCATTTTCCTGCCTACCAAAGGCCCCCGGAAGTAATGCTGTTAGTTGGATGCCATTGAGTCGGTTCCCCTATGCTCCACAGAACGGAGCGCTGCCCGGGCCTGCCCCAGCCTCACCCTGTCCCCCTGCTTGAGTCACTGTTGTGGCCATGGTGGCAGTCCATCTTGTAGAGAGCCCTCCTCTTTGTCACTGCCCCTCCGTTTCAACAAGCATGCTCTTCTCCAGGGACCAGTCTCTCCTGACAACCTGTCTGAAGTAGGTGAGACCAAGTCTCACCATCCTTGCCTCTGATAGAGGATCACTCTGGCCAAACTTCTTCCAAGATAGTAATAATGCAGATGTGCACATGACTCTGTTGCATGAAGGGGACCTTGGTTTTCAAAACTGTGTAACATGTGCCCAATATGTACACAATAAAATGGTAGTTTATAAAATGTAACGTGAGGGATTAAATTGCTCTCACTTTACATAAAACTAAAAACTCCCTGCCATCCAGTCGATACCGACGCATAGCAGTCCTATCCAACAGGGTGGTGTCAGACACCTCTAGGACCTGAGACTGTAACTCTTCACAGGAGTAGAACACCCATCGTTCTTCTGTTAAATTTGGATAACCATTTTAAAATTCCAACATGCCTTTTCCTTTTTTGCATTTGGATTGTTTGAATGGTTTGCACATTACTGGTTCAATCTGTTTTTAACTTGAGCATGATAAAGCATCCGTGCTATTGGAGAACTGCTAACCGCAAGGTCGACAGTTCAAAGTCACTAGCCACTTTCCTGGAGGAAGATGCAGCCGTCTGCTCCCGTAAAGATTTACACAGCCTCAGAAGCACTGTGCACGGTCCTATGAGTTGGGCATGATTCAGGGGCGCTGGGCAGGGTTTGGGGGCATTACTGTGTTTCCAAATCCAAGCTGTACCTTTTCCTGCAAACTAAAACACAACACTCCTTTGCTGCCCCAAGAACGAGAAAGGGCTTCTTTCATTTCCATGTCAAGAAAAGTACCGGACTCATCAAAAATGCTCAGTAAACATATTTACAAACAAATAAAATGATTTTTGATGGCATTTACATAAACTCGAATACAAACCAAACTCACTACCATCGAGTCCACGCTGACCCTAGGGGACAGGGTAGACTCCCCTCTGTGAATTTCCAAGATGTAATTGTTTACAAGAGTTGAGAGCCCCATCTTTCTCCCTCGGAGCCTCGGTGGTTTTGAACTGCTGACCTTGTGTTTCACAGCCCAGCTTGTAGTCACTGCCACCAGGGCTCCCTCTGAACTCTGAAACACAAGATTAAACACAAGCGTCCAATTGATTTGCCCCTCGGGAACTGGCCTGTGAGGAGAGCATGCCTGGTGTGGCCAGTGTGGCTGCTGACCTTTTCAAAGGAGTCCCAGAGGAGGGCCTCAGCAGAGAAAGGGTTAAGTGGTCTTCAGGGACCCGCCCCCGCCCTCCTCCTACTGTGGCTCCAGGAGGAAGGCTTTCTGAGGGTCAGCTGTGTACCACCTGGCACCTTCAGAGGAGTTTTCGTGTTTTTTGTTTTGTTTTGTTTTGTTTGTGTAAGGAAAAAAAAAAGGCAAGAAATCCGATATCCACCTGCAGGGCTTCTGTTATCATTCATATCGTTTCACTGTAATAGAAGCCACTCCGGCCTCCTCCGACTGCATGTTGACCCAGGAGGAGAGCGCTGCCCCCTGCGTGGGGCCCTCCCAGTTGGCAGCTGCGTGGAGTCGCCGGCCATACAGTGAGCAAATTTAGTTTGGAAGCACAGGTGCTTGTGTTTTTCGAAGATTGTTGGGATTCCTGCCCCATAAGCCTGGAGGGAGGGGTCCAAGTCCGTATACCCCATGCATCTGTCCGAAAGGTTGAATTGTCCCCTGGGCCGTTTGAGCAATCTGCGAGAGGTAACAACGGGGGCATAGGACAAACACACAGAATCGCAGGGACCGCTTCGGCGGGTGCCCGGTTGGGGAGAGTGCACTGCCTCCCCCCGTTCCAGCACATTCTGCATTCTGCCAGCTGTACTCTTGCATAACTGTATTTCAGGATCAGCCGTTGCCATGGTTTCTGCGCAGACCAAAGAAGCGAGAGTAAACAATTCCGCAACGAACAAATACCACTGACACTTGATTGCGTGGAGCCATGTTGTGAGTGCTCCGAGAGCCGTTTCCTTTTGGAAATGGTGCAAGGGGCTTGGCAGTTTGTACCCACACCGGTGTCTGTAAGGGGCCCTGGCAGTGCCACGGTGTAGCCATCGGGCTGCTAACTGGTTCGAGCCCATCCGCTGCCCCTCAGGAGGCTGTCTGCTTTCGGGTGGATGGGCGGGCTCGGTGCCCCTGTACCGGTGGTTGCTGTGAGTCCGACTGAACTCTGCAGCAGTAGGTTTGGTTATCGGTATCTGTGAAAGGCCCTGGCCGAGCAGTGGATCAATCACTGAGCTGCTAACCCCAGGGCGGTGCTCCACGAGAGAGAGCTGTCAGGTGCAGTAAAGATCTACAGTCTCGGAAACCCCAAGGAGCAAGTCTTCTCTGCCTTCCGGGTCATTCTGCATCAGAATCAGCTCGATGGCAGTACATTACAGGTAGCTGGACTGTTGTAGACGTGTGCACCTTAAAATAACCGACTTGACCTTGTGAAGGGCCAGTGTAAGTACTCTATAGTAAGATATACAGCTTCTTAGCACCCAGCTCAGCACCCCACCCCCACCCCGAAGGGCAGCGCCTGCTCTGAGCTCTGCAGAGGACTGATTCCACCCTTGCTCCCCCGCATCCTCATCACCCTGAGAGGCAGCTGTCAGGAACCTCACTTCACAGATCAGATACCAAGTGCTTAAGTGGCTGACGTAGAGCCAGCAAGGCCAAGCCAGAATGGAAGGCGGGTTGTTCGGACTCCAGACAAAATGGGGGTTCGTTCCATGAGAAAATCATGGCCCTCAACTTCAGGGCGTCCCCAGGAGAGACTGCACTTTCCAGAAAGCAGTCCGTTCCTTTTCTTCTGTTCACTTCTTCATTACTGAGGGAGCGCAGTGCAGCTCCATGCCCAGCCCGGCGAAAGGCCCTGGGGATTCGAAGATAAACAGACATCATCCTGCCCCGGAAGAGCCCTCAGGTTTGGGGGAGATGGATGCAGACAGATCACCACAAAGCAGTGCAGTAGGTGCTAATAATAGAGTCCAGGGGACCAGAGGGGGCCCACCAGGGCTGGGAGGAGAGGAGCCGCTGGGAGGGGGTGCAGAATTCTACAGAAGAGGCTGCGTTAGGACTGACTCCTGGAGGAGAACCAGGAATCAGCCGCTAGGCGCACATTCCAGCAGAGGTGTGAAAGACACAGTGTCCCGGGAAGCAGCGCTGGGCAGAGGGTGACAAGAGATGGTGTGGCAAAGATAGGCTGAGACTGTACCAGGACACCCTGGGACGGGAGTTAGGACAGAGTTCTATAATCACTGGTGGGTACCTCAGTGGGAGGGTGTCAGTCTGGGTACATTAGAGAAACAAATCCTTAGAAGCTCATGTATAAGAGAGAGTTTTATATAAAGGGTAAGTGCACATCAAGAAAACATCCCAACCCAGTGCTTCCCAAACCCACAAGTCCAACATTAACACCAATCCACAAAGTCCTCCTCCATCTCACAAAACACACACAATGATGGCGACTGCAGGAGGAAAGCTGAATCAGTGAATGTGTAAGCATCTCAGCGCTGGCAGGGGTCTCCACACGGCTGCTCCAGCACCTAGGGCTGCAAGGGGGTAGCTCCATGTGGCTTCTCCTCAGGGATGTCTTGCAGGAAGTCAGCCTTGCCAGATCAAGCAGGGAACTGGCTAAGGCAGCTGCACCCTGGTCCGACCATCAAAAAGCAAGAGACCCAAGAACTAGAAAGGCGAGGCTCACTGAGCCATGTATCCCTCCGCCCTTCAATTAACCCCACCTGTGTTTGTCGACCAGATTGACACAATAAACTAACTACCTCGGGGGGGGGGAGATGTGACACCACCCCCCTCCCCGTCATGGGCATCCCACTGACCCTCTGAGTCTGACCTCAGGCCTGTCGGAAATGGAATGGAAAGCTCCCCTCATGACTTGCCCCTTCCTGACCCTGAAGCCACCTGGGCCTCTCCTCATGCCAAGTGTCTTTCCTAGGTGAGCTTTCTGCAGAAGCGAGCCTGTGTCCTTCAAGAGGAGCTGACCACCTACCAGAGCCGAAGGTACTGCTCGGGGCCAGGCGGCCCTCCTGATCCATCTGTGTGACTTGCCCTCGCCACTCTCCCAGCAGGGGGCTCGAGCCTTCATGGAAATGCTCAACCGCATCTAAACCAGATAGATTCTCGGGCCATAGGCTGTCCATGAGCAGGCCCCCGCCCCCTGCCACCCCACACCGCCCGCCCCGAGCTGAGGAGAGGAAGGAACTGCAGGTGCACAGCAGGTCTCCCTGCAGGACACACAGCAGCAAGTGGAGAAGCTGCCTTCCTCTCAGTTGGGAGACAAGGCAACCCTTCATTTAAAGCGGCAGGCGCCTTCAAAGTCCATCTCCCAGGCAGCTTGGCACCAGTGCAGGTGTTCTCCAGCCCAGACGAGGCAAACAGCTTGGTGATGTCACAGCCCTCGCGTGGGCTTTGGTGCTCATGGCGGCCTCTTCAGGGATGCCCGAGACCTTTCTAGTCCAAGGGACCCAGTGAATCCCGGGCCTGGGCTGTGTCTGCCTGCTGCCAAGAGCAGCCACCCTGGGCGACTTAACCACACAGCCTTCCTGACTGACAAAGAGTGAGCCACTTGTTGGGCACTGAACTTAAGTTACAAAAAACACTGCCATCCATTCAAGGCTGACTTAGATTGACCCTGTGAGTTTCCGAGACTAACTGTTTATAGGAGTGGAAAGTCCCATCTTTTTCTGGAGGAGCAGCTGGTGGTTTTGAACTGCTGACCTTGGGGATTGCAGCGCAATGCATAAACACTGTGCTACCCGGTAAAGAGGTCATGAATTCTTTCCCTTTCCAAAGTACTTGATGTGGATCTTGGTGTCGATATGATCCAAAAACCACACCAAATTGCCATCAAGTCAACTCCCACTCACAGGGCCCCGAGAGGACAGAGTGGAACTGTCCCCCAGGGCTACCACGCTATCGTCGTTGGGAAAGCAGGCTGCCTCATCTTTTTCCTGCAGAGCAGCTGGTGGGTTCGAACCACCAACCTTGTAGTTAGCGGCTGAGCACTTAACCACTGCGCCACTGGGACATACACGATGAACTGTCTTCTTCAACCTTTTTCTATTTCTGGACACCGAAAACAAGCAAGCCATTGCGGCTGAGTCTATTGTCACTCGTCTTGCTCCCTAGAGAGAGTAAAACTGGGCCATAGGGCTTCTCAAGCTATCATCTTTGTGGAGGAGCCCTGGTGAGGCAATGGTTATAGCTGCTGCTAACCAGTAGGTCAGCAGTTCGAACCCACCAGCTGCTCCACGGGACAAAGAACTGGCAATCGGCTTCCGTAACCATGTATAGCTTTGGAAGTGCTGTGGGGCAGTTCCATTCTCCTAAGGCCGCTATGAGTCTGAATCAACTTGGCTTTGGCTTTGGGATCCTCACTGTAGCAGATGGTCACATCTCTCTCCCCTGGAAAGGCGGGCGAATCTGAACCACTAAGCTTCTGGCTAGCACCCGAGCAGGTGCTCTTTCCCCGCTGCTGGATACTGGTGACTTGGGGCATGTTTGTGTCATTGGAAGGCCTGGAGGAAACCCTAACTGAGCGTTCTGGTTTTCAGGTAACTGCACCGGAGATGGCGGTGGATCCCGTTGTGGGGGCTGTGCCGAGGGCGGCGACCAGCAGGTTTGAAGATCTGGATTCTGTGCACTGTCGAGCCCAGTGGCATAGTTTCAGTTTTGAAAGTATGTACTTAGGATCATAAAAACATGCGTCATTCACACTCTAGTAGGATAGTTTTATTCGTGTCCGCGTACTTTATTTTTTTTATTAGCTTTTTCTTGCCAGTTTCCATATCTGTGTGCATGTGTGCGCGCGCGCGCCGAGAATGGTTGATACCCGGAAAAGAAATGCGCTCCTGTGACTCTCCTTGTTCATGCTTTGGCCTAGGATTTTACCAGGCGCCGGTGATCAAAATCACGCATGTGGCGTCACACCCAAACATTTTCAACAAGACCGCGTTGTTTTCATGTTCGTGTTCACCTGTGATTAAAATATCATTTTGTACTTATCAAAATGATTTCTACTTTTTATTGCACCTCATTTGCTGAAGCCAGTGTGGCATATAGATGGTACTTTCCCCTAGGAAATACTGGCCACCCCAAATGGTCCTTTGGGGTGGGGGCTGGGAATCTTCTCTGATGTAGAAGATTAAGTCCACAGTGAGCGCGTGCAGTTGGTGGTTAGGCTCAAACCCGGTGCCACCCAGGCAGCAGTCTTGATCTCCAATCAGAGCCTGGCAGCAGAGGCTAACACGTGTCGGTGGCAGCGCTGCCATCTCGGTCCCTCTTGTACCATGGCGGTTTTCATTATCATCTCCATCTGCACTCTTTCAGGAGACCTGGAAATGTAGGGGTGTGTTCTGAGGGCACTCAACGTCCTGCCACCTGGTTTTAGAATATGCATTAGGCGGCCCCGTTTTCAGGAGGCTGCCTCGGCCAGGTGGACCGACCCCGTGGCTGCAGCAATGGACTCCGGCACAGGAACCACTGTGAGGCTGGCGCAGGACTGGGCAGTGTTGCATTCTATTGTACACAGGGTGGCTATGGGCAGGATTAGACTCACTAAGAGGCTCCTAGTCAGGGGAGTAGGGCATGCCTCCCAGGATTGGATGGTGGTGCCCAGCTCTGTGTCCACACCTGAACACCCATCACGCAGGTCTGTGCTGCTGGGTCAACCCCGATTTGCCAAGGAAGTTTTGCATTGCTGTCAGGGGACCAGCAGCCAGGAAGCAACTGATGCACCAAATTCTTGGACTGCACTGCGGTGCGTGCCACGGCCCCTTAGAGATACTTTGGAAAGATCTGGCCCCTGGGAAGGACGACAGTCATCTGGTTTACAGTAAGGACAGAAAGTTTATTTACACTTAGCAAAGAGAAAATATGTTTTCTCTTTCCCACATCCATCTCTGTTGTCTGCTGCCCAAGCATAAGTTGCCCTCTCTTGCTCTGTGACTGAAACAGGGAGATGGTAAGGAAGTAGCAGGTTTTCCGAGCCCAGCCCAAGCTGGGACTAGGAGCTGCATCACTACCCCTGATTCTGATACCCTCCGCCAGGTGAAAACGTCCAGAAGCCTGGCCTGATAGCTCCTCCAAGAATATGCATCTCGGTCTTTCCTGTAAGACCAGGGTTTTTGTATACAAAAAGGAGGGAAAGAAATAGCTCAAAGAATATTCAAGTAAAAGCAAAACCCATAGCAGTTGCCATCAAAGCCACCTGGCCACCGAGGACAGATGGTTCTCAGGCTGTGATTCCGTACTGAGTGGCAAGGTTATGCTCAAGTACTTCCGGGTAGATGGTTGAAAACAGGCGGAAGTTCCACAGAGTCCGCAAGTCAGGTTGTTAGCTGCTTGAAGGGAAAAAGACGGGTGAGTTGCACTGTGTGCTGGGATTGGAACCCCCACTCCAGAATGCTTGTTTCCCGCGGGTAAACATCAGCAGGTGTTTCGGAAAGTCGCCTGTCTGTCTTTTCCATCTTCCAGGGGTGACCCCCTGACATCCCCCAGATCCTGTTTTCGCACCAGAAGTGTGCCATGCCGGGTGTGGCTGAGAGTGAACCAAATGAACCGTGTGGTCAGTGTGATCGTGTGTGATAGGAGGAGATGAGTGTGCGAGCCAGTGGTGATTTTGCCAGAGCTTTCAGCGCAGGACAAGAAAGAAAAATTGCATCGGGCGTGTTTTGAAACGCTCTGCGGAATTGAGCGCCAAGGGTTTACATGCCTACTGGGAGAGAAAGCTAGTGCTGGGGAAATCTATTATAAACGTGGTGCCTGGTTGTAAAATCATCTTTGGATTTCATCCTCTCCTTTATCTGGTGGAAGATCAGTGGTGCATCACAAGTCCCTAATTTAGTTACATCTCAAGGTGGTGTTATTATTGGCGGTGGTACCTGAAGCCGCCACCTGTCCTCTCTGCATTTCAACATATAATTGTCCGCCGGGCTGGGGCTGAGAAAGCACTGGAATCGCGCCGAGCCCAAGAGAGGCTCTGAGATCCCCACGCCGTGGGCATCCTAGGTGTGGTCGCCAGTTCGCGGGGTCTATGAGGAGAAGGGTTGAGGAGGACACCGGGCAGTCATCACACGCATCATTGTCTTCTTTGAGTCCGCCATTTTCTGCGTCAGCCAGCCTTAAGCCCTCGCAGGGGGCTGACCTCTTGATTTTGCCCCCGCCCTGGTCAACAAAGAAGTGCTCAGAGGGCAGCTCTCCAGGGGACACAGGAAGACTAAGTTGGAGGGGACCCACGAGGGATGACTTGCCCTATAGTTTGTAAAAGAACGGTGATGTCTTCAGAGACGGGCATCTCTGCTTCTCGTGGGGAGCAAGCTCATTAAAGGGCTCCACAGAGAAAGTGCCGGCACTGGGAGTTTGAATTAACAATTAAGAGCTCTCCGATTGAAGTGCTCCACCACCCATAGAAAGCAAGGGTGATTTAGCTTTCTTTTTCTGAGTCAAAAGGAAAGGTAAAACATCAAAAATGGTGGGAGAAAAGTTTCAGAACACAAGGTCATTTTAATTCATACTTTCTTTAAAAGAGCTATCTCCACAGCTTTCATATTTTGTTCAGAAAGGTCGTTTCTTTTAAGCCTTGTCATTAAAGAGGGTTTGCTCTTTAAAGTGAATTATCAAAGAGTGTGGAAATTGCAAGTTACTGAAACTACAATACATGATCAATTTTAAGTCGGCTAACTAAAGCCTACTTAAAATTGGATGTGCTTTTTGTCCTGGCAGCCCCTTTGATAAAACCAGAAAAAGAAACATGGTTGGTCCATTCAAAGTAGGAAAGGAAGATAATTAGATGAAACTTTTTTTTTTTTTTAACAATTGAAGTGGTTCTTGGATTTGGAGACGTGATTAGAAAGCTGTGATGTAAGCTGTAATGGAATTTGAAAAGTAAAAGTGGAATAGCCTAGATTTTGACCTGTTCGGTATCAACATTCTTTGCTGTATTATTTTAATGGAATCAAACTTCATATCAGCTCATCTATGATAAAAGAAAGAAAGAAATTGGTAACCAGACTGGGATCCACACCTGGACCTAACAATACCCTTGAGTGGACAATTCAGTCTTCCAAACATCTCCGTTTGGGGAGTAAAGATTTCTACTCGGCAAGTTTCCTCAAACCAAAAGTTCAAGATGTCACCGTAGATTCTGGCGTGTTCAGAACGGACGCTTGGTCAAAACTTCAGGTTAACAGGTGCTCTTATATCCTCGGTGGGAGTCTGCCTTTTTTGAGAGACGGCTCATGGGAAACAGCTCGTTGGACACCGAGACCGGATCATGGAAAAGAAAGCGAGGGCTACCTAATGAGAAGCCTGATATGTTTAATTAGCCAGCATGGTGTAGGCACACAAGGAAAAACCTTTTGCCCAGAGCCCTTCTCCTTAGCTAACAAAGGCAATGATAGAGTTCATGGATGGAGCCCCCCAGTGAGCTTTGTTTGCTTAGACGGCTCTCTTCCCTGATCTGGGCCTCACTTTTTTAATCTGTAACATACTAGGGTACAACGAGGTCAGTATTTTCCATTTTACACCATCTGATTCCATGTTTCCCTGACTTGCATTCCATCCCTCCCCATCCTGTATGATTTAGCGCAAGAGACCTGTTCAGTAGGTTCAAATGTATTCAGTAAGTGCAGCACACACTCTCCTCCTCTTGAAGATGCAGGTTTATAACATTCACTCATGCATCTCCTCATTCTTTTAATAAGCCGTTATTGATGGCCTACTGTGTGCCAGACAGCACATTCACTCCCGCCAAACTCCACAGTACAAGCAAGAATGTAGAATCCTCATCCCTCCCGATACTGACCTGGCCCCACTAAACTCAACTGATCTCATGCAAGTGCAGTCTGAGGTTGGCTGATGAGGCACAATGGGCTGGAAGCCCACGATGGCTTACTCAACCCTTGGCACCTGATTCTTTCTCTTGGCTGGTGGAAGAGTGAGCCCACAACAGGCCAGATGTGCAAGCCACCAGCTGCTTAAGGCCTGGGCCCAGAAACTGCCAGAAAGTACGCTGCCAGCCAAACCAATGGCAAAGCCCACCCAGGGGCAACAGGAGGGGACATGAAGCCGACAAACGGCAAAGAATTTGTGGCTATCCTTAATCTACCTCATCCTTTGATAAAGAAAGCCTATTAAATGTTCTTTCATCTGGAATTTTCTCAAGTGATGTGAACATAGATTCGTGTTTTGTTTTGTCTTGTCTTGAGGGCAGTTTTCTTTGGTCTGCTTCTTTTATTGTAGAGTTCTATGAGCTGCTACACTGAAAAGCCCAACTCTGTGAGACTGCTAAAACATTCTTTCCTGTTAAAACAGTGTTAAGCCAGGCTTTTCTGCTTCTACCAGCACAAGTTAAACTCGAGATTTAGAAACATTGCTTGGGAAGTCCTAAGATGGAACTATTCAGGAAGGCCTGTGTCATTCTTTCAAAGGTTAGGGGTAGCAACCATAATTGAGTGTTTCTTCCAACTCCTCTTCCTTTGGGACTTAGTATGTTTGTTTACCGTCATTATCTGAGCACAAGGATATTATTATCAAGGTCCGTCAGAACCCAGACCCATGTGCTGAAGGTGGTTTGCCCTTCGTGGAAACTTCAGACACAAGGAAGGGTGAGGATTTGATGAGCCTGTGAGGGAACTTTTCCTAAACCACAGAACACTTAAAAACTACTCAACTAAGTAGAACCTAATCATCTAGATACACAAATGAATCAGCCTCC